CAGACACTCCTACTGCATGAGACAGCTGCTTTCATGGTGAGATCAGAAGTTGGGACCCTGGGAGGACAGGATCGCCACTAGTTAGCTCCCTAACCATTGAGTTAATCCTCCTCCACCCTAGGAGGCAGACAGCGAAGAGGAACGTGGTATGAGTTAAGGCCACAGAAACAGTCCGACAAGTCTTCCTTTACCTCCATGACCAGGTAACTCCTCTCAATGACTGGCTTTTATAACCTTTCCTTTGTAGCACTTGGCATGATTGCAATTTCTTATTTACTTGTGTCATTATTTGATAAATGCCTGTCTTCCTCACTAAACTCTGTGAGGGCAGGTTCCATGTCCATTTTGTTCACCATTGTATCTCCAGCACCAGCACAGTGCCAGGTACTTAGCTATTGCTTGCCAAATGTTTGCGGAATGAAGAAGGTAGATACTGACACTTGGGTGTCATTAAGCCTAGAGAGAGAAAGGTGGAAAGAGGTGGTCCCCTGAGGTTGGGGGTGGGTAGGTCGAAGACTTGATGGGGAAAAACAAGCAGTGTGGTTACTCTCTTAGGATCATCTCCCTATGCTAAAGTGCCAAGCACCCCCCACCCCCTGCAGCCCTGCTTTCTCCCCTGTATTAGAAGAGGCCCTAATCAAATGCCTGTGAATAGCTCCCACCAGGTAGTCTAAGAACTTGGAACTCTAGAGCCAGGCCAACAAGGTTCAAATTCTAGCTCTGCCACTTTCTACCACGTATCCTCTGGTCAATCACTTAACTTCTCTGCCTCAGTTTCCTCCTCTGTAAAATGGGGATAATAATTGTTCCTACTTTGTTGTGAAGATCAAATGAGCTATGACACACACAAGTAAGTGGTTAGGCCACTGCCTGGCACATAATATGTGCTACATAGGTACACCATCTACCAATTGCTCTCAATACAGCCAACAGCCTACCCCAAATATCTCTCCCTTGTCTAGAATCCAAGAACATAGCCTTCCCCCTGGCTTTGGCAAGATTGGCAGGAGTCAGGCAGCAGAAATGATAAACGGTAGAGGCGCGCTGGGTGTGGGTTTGGGTTGGAAGCCTGCCTGCCCAGAATGTGGCAGTCAGACAATCTCTGAAGAGATGTTTTCTCCTGATAGGTTCCCTTAAGGTTCCAGTGGTTGGTTGGGCTGTGCTTCCAGTCCAAACAGGGTTTGCTGGAGTGCCAGCAAAGACACACGTCCTGCCAACAGTCTCCCTAATGTCCTAGCCTCAGAGACATGTCTCAACAACCCGGCTGAGGCCGAGGCTGAGATTCACTGCACAGCTGATACTGCTGCTGACCCACGAAGAAAGGCTCACACTAGTGTCTGGTGACAGTGCAGACAGCCTGTTTCAGTGGGGCCCTTTATATATTTTGGTGCTTAAGTTCAGCACTCAGAAGGCTATTGCTTCCACAGTATTCTGCCTATAATTTGGGTGGCCAGTATAGGAGAGAAGTGTGCCTGGGTTCCCTGCTGTTTGTGTAAGATGCTTATAAAAGATAGACCTTTCTACAGACATTGTTTCAAGGGAAAAAAAAGGATGAGGTGCTTGAAAAATTAGAACTTCAAAGGAGACTCAGTCACATTACACACAGCTGAAAGAGGTAAAGAAGTTAGAGGCAGCGAGAAAGAGAAAAAAGTGTCAATTTTATGAAAGTGTAAGGTTTTGTCTTTATAGGGAAAGACGAAAGAGAATGGTTTATTGAGGTTGGAGAAGAGGTGGCAGAGAAAGAACCTCATGAATTGTCAAGTATGTGAAGGGACAATACATAATCCATAAAAATAGGCTTTTATCTGTTGTTCTGAGGACATAATAAAGGAAAAGAAATTTAAATGGTAACAAGAGAGCTGTTGAGAGGTCAGTCCCAGTATCTGTTATCGCAAGAAAGACTAGAAATTAAGTTTTGTATATTGAGATTGAGTAAATATAAAGGCAAGACTATCAGAGATGGAGGAGATAGTACACATTCTACTTAACCCTGGGTGATAATTATAGTAACTATCATATGATATCTAATAATTATCACTGATGAAGCACTCGCTCTGTACTAGACCTTCTCCTGGCCCTCTGTGTCAGCTCAGTTAATTTTTACAACCTTTACATGGGTGGCAGATATGTCATCTCCATTTTCACAGTGGAGAAAACCAAGGTGCTGAGTGGCTAAGCTTGCTCTAGGTGACATCACTAGTAGGTGGTGGCTCTGCACTGTCAAATCTATGTCCTCCTGTCTTCAGTGCCCATGTCCTTTGCACTGTCTTGCCTCTCAGATGCAACATTAGGTCTTTCTGTTGTCTCCTTTCTTTTACTGTTTTTTAGTTCAGCTTTCTCATATCTTTTTCCCCAAACAAAACAACCTCAGCCTAACAAATGGAGTATAGCAACTAGCTGGTTAATATGGCAGCCCATGTGTACACCTCTGCTCAGTATGGACTCCCTTCCCTTTGGAGCAGACTCAAATTAAGTTAGGACAAAGATGTGAACAAAATACTGATCCTGCCTGGCTTACGCTTAATAACTGTAGTAAGGTACAATACACACACACTGTGAAAAACTGTATGGGAAGATCCAGGCCTAACTGGAGCATAAATCAAATCAGGCCAAAACTGAATCCATACTGATTTATGGAGACCGTGACAAAGAGCATATTAAAAGGGATGAACACATACTGGTACTCAGAGCAAGGTCATTTCTTTCAAAAAGAAATATTAATTATAGTGTCTTGAAGTGGGATGGGGGAGAAAAAACACCCTGGGGACCAGGAAGCACACCAAGTGATTTCCTACTGACCATGAACCAATGTATAATCAGTACAACCTACCACAGCCAGTAATTCAGAGCAAGAAAACACAACAATGATATCCTATGTTATAGACTCTAATTCAAACCATGACTAGCTTTCTGGCAATATTTCCAAGCTAATGTGCATCCATCCAAAGAGTACCTACTCCGTACCTAGTGCAGTGGGGAAAAAGGTCAACCAGGACTGGTTTGTACCTTCAGGAGCTTATGCACTGGTAGGGATGGTAAGACCGGGGTAACCTACAATCAATGAAAGACAAAAAGTGACACGGTGGTAAAAGGTGCCGGAGAAGCCCAGGTTAAGTGCCAAGGAGTACTAGATAGGAAGGTTTACTCCTGATTTACAAGATCAAGAAATGCTTCATGGAGGCAGTGGCATTTAGGCGGGCCTTTGAACGATAGGCAGGATTTAGAAGTGGAGAAATATGCAATGGAGCTGGGAAGGCAGAGAAGAAAGGCTTCCATCTAGTGTTTATCAAAATGTGCCCAGAAGATTGCCTGCATTAGAATCTGAGGAGGTTGCCTTTGAGCGAGGTCTTGAGAAACGAACAGGATTTCCACAGGCAGAGATGGAGGGAAAGGATTTTCCAGAAAGAGGCAACATTCACTCTTCCCAACCCTCACTGTGCATGTGTAGTTGTTACATAGGTAGCCATTTTGTCTCCTTGTCCTCCCAGTTCCTTATCAGGAAATATCTGCCACTGATTTACCCCAAACTTGATTGCCATATGGCTGAAATGAGATGCTCTGACCAGTCAGAGATTGACATTGGTCACTTTCCTATTGGCTTTCTCAGGTTTCAGATTTGTAAAAGGCTCAGTCTTGGTGCGCTAAACTCTGATGTAAACCACTGTTTGAGGCTGGTCATCTACCTGGTCTCTGGAAGGTTTCTCCAAGTGGTAGTCTATGGGCCACCTGCATCCGAATGGACTCTGGGACCTGTTTAAATGCATATCCCAGGAGCCCCACCCCAAGGCCACAGAATCAGAATCTCTAACGTTGTCATCTGGGGATCTGAATTTCAACCAGTCCTCCAGGTGATACTGAAGCATGCTGAAGTTTGAGAAATAATTATGGGCAGAGTAGAGAGCACAGGGTCAAAGAGAAGGGAGATAGGAACAATGTGAGTAGAACCTGAGGTGCATGAATGGAAGAACGTGGGCCTAGGAAGGTAGGTTGAGGCTAGAGCACAGAAGGCCTTCACTGTCTGAGTCAAGGGGTGGACATGTATTCTACTGGCAACAGGGAGCTGACCCTTTCAGTGACAGAGTGGAGAGGTCAGGAGCCTGGAGTTTGGAGCCAAACTTCCAGGATTCAGATCTTAGCTCCTCGACTTAGCATCTAGTTACATGACCTTGGACAAGGTTCTTAACCTCTCTCTACCTCTGTTTCATCATCCATAAAATGGGGATGATAATCGTACTCACCACACAGGGTTGTCATGGGATTAAGTGCATTTCTATCTATAAAGGGTTTAGAACTATGACAGGCACATAGTAAGGACAGTATGTGTGAGCACAAAGACTTTTGAGTAGGGGTGTAGCATGGTTAAGGCTATCTTTTTGGGAAGATCAAGCTGGTAGTAACGTATATCAGTCAACTACTCATCCCCTACCAACACATCCTATAACTTCTTCCCTCCAGCTTAGTGCTCTGGACTACCAGAGCACTACCAGAGTTCTCATTGCCGGGCAGTAGGGATGAACTGGTCAGTAGAATACTTCAGAGATGGGAACCAAAGACACCCCATTTACTTGTGAATTGCATTGAGTGGCCCTAATGGCCTGGTGCCTGTGGCTCTTCCACCCATCGCATCCCCAAAGCTTCAAAATAAGTGACTCCTTCAAATGAAGGCTTTGGTGGTGTAACTATCATGAAAAGGAGTGCAGATTGAGCCCACCCACTCAACTTTGTCCATTTAAGCTGTCCTAAAGCCTCAAGACCAGGACACAACTGGGTCTGACCTCTTCAACAGAGTTGTTGATGGCTGAAGAAGATCAGGGAGTCTGGATTGGCAGGGAGGCTTATGATTTAAATGCAATTCATCTTCCATTCACACACCCAACAGTGTAGGCTCAAATGGTGTAAGTGCAGAGGAAGCCCTCCTATGTGGGTAGGTACTAGCAGGCACCTTAAGATGCAGGGTCTTACCGAACAGCTCCCCGGGTCTTGGGGTACGGGTCACCTACCTCTGCATACCCGGCAGCAGGAATCCGGAACTGAGACTGGAAATGCACAGGTTAACCTGGGGCAAGTCTTGAGACCACAGTACACATTTCCCTCCTGCCAAGGAGAAACAGATTAAGGTCAGAAAGATCTGGGATAAGTGGAAAGGCTCAGCTTGGTACCCAGGATGAGTATAGGCTCAAAACATGGCACACCCTTCCCAATTCTCTCCCATAGTGTTTCTAGGTCCTTCCTACATTTTATTATGTATTATTTTTTTCTGTTTACTGTTTCTCCACACCAGAGACTAAGTCACAGAAGAGTGGGCGATCTTCACCAGTCATCCTGGTCTAAGATGGTAAAAAATAGTCAGTGTGAGGGCTGCCATGGGCCTCCAAACCACCATATAGAGTTTTGCTCCTCTTTTCTCTGTTCATTGTATCTGATGGTCCCCATCACTCACAGGCTGGACATAGGAGATTTCAGGGAATGCAGACTTGGGTAATAGCTGACTTTTGTTAACACTCACGAGAGCCTCCCTTCCAAACCAGGGAGACAAGCTCTCTTGGGTAATGCAAAATTATACAGGATGATCTGAACTGACGGCTCAGTTCAGCACAAAGCAAAGGAGAGGATCAAATTTACTTGCTGTTAAGTCTGTCTTTGTATCATCTCCATTCCCTAAAGTCCTATACTCCAAACATTATTCCTTAAACCTTGTCCTTAGTTCTTGGAAGCATATTATTCTGGGGTTAGAAAGTCTCCTGAAAGGTCATTAGGAAGGCAAGGCCACAATCAACTTTTCCCAAACCACTGAGATACTACATTTTTGCTAAAAATCCCTATGGGAAGAGATTCTATTCCTTCCCTTGGCAATCCAGCACTTAATGCCACTTACAGGCAGAAAAGTCGTCTAAACATCTAACTTCACTCCTGCACACTTCAGTTTAAACACCCACTGGACTCCATTTTCTGGTTCTGCATTCTCTGAACTGCACAATTAGATGAAGATACAATCGGTATACTTTATTCCTAAAGGATAAACAGTTCTTTTGACAAGTAATGTCCCAGGATACTCCTGTTTTGTTGAGAGAGTTCTCATTGCTGGGCAGTAGGGATGAACTGGTCAGTAGAATACTTCAGAGATGGGAACCAAAGACACCCCATTTACTTGTGAATTGCATTGAGTGGCCCTAATGGCCTGGTGCCTGTGGCTCTTCCACCCATCGCATCCCCAAAGCTTCAAAATAAGTGACTCCTTCAAATGAAGGCTTTGGTGGTGTAACTATCGTGAAAAAGAGTGCAGATTGAGCCCACCCACTCAACTTTGTCCATTTAAGCTGTCCTAAAGCCTCAAGACCAGGACACAACTGGGTCTGACCTCTTCAACAGAGTTGTTGATGGCTGAAGAAGATCAGGGAGTCTGGATTGGCAGGGAGGCTTATGATTTAAATGCAATTCATCTTCCATTCACACACCCAACAGTGTAGGCTCAAATGGTGTAAGTGCAGAGGAAGCCCTCCTATGTGGGTAGGTACTAGCAGGCACCTTAAGATGCAGGGTCTTACCGAACAGCTGCATTGGGTGCACTGATTGGGTTGACGGTTCTGGAAGAGCCCTTCTGCCATGAACAGCTCACCATGTTGGTAAGTAGTCCCGTTGTACTCACATGACTTGCTGGTCACCTTATTGTTCGCTGGGGGTAAGGAGTCTTCTGGGACAAGGAGGAGAAAAAGCACCCAGAGGATTAGCATTATTGCAAAGAATTTCATAAATCCCAACAGCAGATGGGGCTGTACCATGTAGAGGGAGTTAAAAGGCTCTCACTCAGTGGCGGATGACCTTTGATAATATTGAAGCAGCCAGACAAGAATAGCAACTGACATGAGCACCCATCCATTCTTTCATTTGTTGAGCATTTATTGAGTGCTCAGTATGTGCCAGGCACTTCAATGGGCACAGAGAGATCAGAGAAGAAGGACAAGACCCCTGCCATGATGGAGCTAACACCTAGATGAATAAGGTAGGTTACTTGCCTGGACAGAGGGAGTCCTTTCAGAAGAGAAACCATCTATCATAAGTACCCTGTAACTTTATCTCCACCCATGTTTTATTCCACGTGGTATGTGTTTGGATGTTTATTCCAACCTCTGGAGTCATTACTTATTTTTAATCCCTCCACCAAGACTGCCCCCTCCCTCCTGCTCTTTTCTACCTATTGCAGTCCTATCTGATTTTGAAGTCCCTTTTCCTCCACAAAGCATTCCCTAAGAGCTTCAGCCCGTCATCTGGGATGCTTAAGGCATCTGATGTCTGAAGTACACAATTTGGCAGCTGAATATTATTGTAACTCTTATTCTGAATTATAGGCATGGAGCCAGCAATTTACAAAGAGATTTCACATACATTATACAATGGAGCCATAGAACAACCCTGTCAGCCAAGTAAGGCAGATTCTTATCTTCATTTTTCATTTGAGGGTACCATGTCTCTGAGGTTGAGAGACTTATCTCAGGACACCAAAGTAGTGTGTGATGAAGAAAGGAATTGAAATCTGGTCTCTGACCCTAAATTCCATCTTCTTTCCATCAGCCTATGTATACATGCGTCTGTATTGCATTCTGAGGACTGGGACTCTGCCTTACACGTGTCTTTTCTCTGTGGAGTCTAGCACAGAGCTGCCCTGTAGCAGAAAGTCAGGACATTTGGTGAATTGAGTCTAAGTGAATGGTTCTCAAAAAGTCTTCTCATGGAGCTTCCTTGAAGTGCTGGGTACACGTCTGCTGTCACGTGCCAGCCCCCCTGGGGTCACTGTTGTCTTGACCCCAGAGCAACAGTGAACAAGACCCCTGGATTAAACTAATCATTGATGTACAAATTAACAATAGATACAAGCAGGGCTTGAAAAGTGCCTGCTGTGGAACAGTAGAAGAGGACAAATCAGGGGGGCTGTGAGTTTCACTGGAGGGAAGCTTAGAGTTACACCATCCTTTCTTTCCCATCAGTCAAAATTATAATGAAAATTAGTTCATGTTATGGGTAAACTGTACCTCTCAGTACAATGATGTAAAAAAACAGAATGAAACTATTCTAGGATGTAGGTGAAAATGATAAAGACTAACAACAACAATAATAAAAAAAACAATGGCTAACATTTCTTGAACCCTAAATAATATGCCAGGTGGAATGATGAATGCTTTCCCATACCTTATCTCATTGGGTCTTACTCATAATGTCTGATGTAGACATTATGATGATGCCTATTTTTCTGAGGAGGAAACTAAGCCATAAGAAATTAATCGACCTGCTCCACGTCACACAACTTGTAAGTGGTAGCACCAGGATCTGAACTGATATCTGACTGACTCTAGAATCTTCCCTCCTAGCCACTATCAAGGAGAGTGCCAATCACACCAAACCTCTAACAAGAAGGGACCATTTCATTTAAAACCCAAAACCAATGAAACAGGAAAGCTGTATTGTCTCCCTAGAATGTTTTGGCCTAAAATATGCAGAAAACACATTGCACTTTCTTTGGCTTCATTGATTCGGATTAACTAACCCAATTCTATCCTTTACTATATAAAAGGATTTAGCTTCAATTTCTGAGTAACTCACTCCTTGCGTATTAACTACATGTAAATGACCCCTTACAGAATACAAAGGAAATTCCCTAATTTTGCCTTAAAAAGAGGGAGCCTTAACTCCTGGAAAGAGTTTACCTCATACTAACTGACCCTCTGATCTGGGCTATGAGTCCCTGCTCCTGCCCACAAGTACTCATAAGGAGACACCTGCAGCTGGTAGACAGGTAAGAAACTCACTGGAGAAAGGACAAGAGCAGGGCACTGGGTCCCTGGGTTCCAATTATACAAATCTCAGTATTTTGTGGTGAAGGAATACTAGGATGACCTACAAAATTGTATCTACCATGTGCCAGGAGCTGGTGAATCTTTTGAATGCCAAAAGAAAAAACAGGTTGCAATGGTTTTGCCTCCAAAGACTATGGATTGATTTTTGAATTGGGCCTTCCACCAAGGAATCAATGGTGAGGCAACTGCAGGGTAAGGTTTTCCAGGAGAAGCATGCCCTTGAGAAATTTGTCTTGCAATGGTCTTCAGAGTAACCTGACAGTGGACTCTTAATCTGCTCAACAGGAGATGGGGAGAAAGCACAAGAGAGGAAGACAGACAATCAAAGAAACCAATTACGGTCATGCTTACTACTAGTCTGACATAATAAACTCATCTTCACACCTTCCCATTTATTCTTATTTCATTCTTCTAATATCTCTAATGGGGGGGGAGAATTATGAAAATAAAGCTACTATCATCCCCCCCAAATTTTCCCATGCCACAAAGCTATTTAATAGGAAAGCCAACTTGGAAATAATAGTTTTCTTGCCAGAAAGTTTGTGTTCTTTTCACAGAGTGGGTGTTAAAACTCGGGGGCAGAAAGGTAAAGAAACCAGTACATGAAAAAGATATCGGCACTCCCATGTTCAAGACAGCATTGTGCACAATAGCCAAGACATGGAAACAACCTGTGTCCATCAATGGATGAATGGATAAAGCAAATGTGGCACATATATGCAATGGAATATTATTCATCCTTAAAAAAGAGACCCTGCCATTTGCAACAACATGGATTAGCCTGGAGGACATTATGCTAAGTGAAAGAAGTCAGGCACAGAAGGACAAAAACTGCATGACTTCACTTATGTGTGAAATCTAATGTTGGTCAAAGGGTACAAAGCTGGCCATGGTGTAGGATGAGTAAGTCTGGAAATCTACTGTACTGCAAGATGATGCTAGTTAATCATAGTATATTGTATACTGGGAATTTGCTCAGAGGAAATTTCAGGTGCTCGCATCACAAAACAAATGGTAACTATGTGAGGAGATGATATTAATTAGTTTGACTATAGGCATCATTTCAATATATATATATGCATATCAAATCAGCATGTTGTATACCTCAAACAGATACAATTTTTACCAAAGAAAAGAATTTTTAAAAACTGGGGGGCAGGATCACTGAATCCCATTCTCAGCTTGGGTATCCACTCTCCGTAATTTTGCACAAGCCATGTTACCATTTTGAGCCTTAATTTTTCTATCTAAGAATGGGCCATGTGACCTAAATCTCCCCTTGCATGCAAGGGACCATGGAAGCAAGAAGAGCCACCTTGTCTTCTAGCCTCTCCCTTCCTAGATTTTCCAAGGTGGCTGGGCTTCTAACCAACTCTCCTTGGAGTACATTAGTGTTCCTGGCCGCAAACTGGCAGAAAAATCAGTGTGAAGCAAAGCTGGCTTCAGGGCCCCCCCAGGGGAATGTTCCTGCTCTGTGGAGTGGAGGAAGGACATGGAGCAGGGGGCAAACAGATAAGCACTGGGCCATCTGACCCCAGCTGTGCCAGGAAAAGGAACTGCTGCTTCTCCCCTGGTGAGGGGTAGTCTTATGTACAAGCAGAACTATGATTTCTGGAGTGTTCAGAGAACACTCCCTTATCTGAAATACCTCCTTCCCTCCTTTTTGCTCCCTGATGCCTAAAATGCCATCATCAGAAGTCCATTACTTTGGGGTAAATGGTTGCCTTTTTGCAATCAGATTTTATAATCCCAAAACTTCTGGGAGAGGCTACACATTGCCATGAACATCTTAGTGTGAGTAACTTGGCTGCAGGCTTTGTTTTTTTTTCCCCTTCAGAGAAGCTGCCCAATTTCCCCACGAAGTCTGTGGCCCTACCCCACTTCCGGTGGTACACCATTCTCTCCCCTCCCAGCACTACCCTGCTTCCAACCCTCCCTTCGGGAGCCCAAAGTCTTCATGCTGGTTGCTGTCTTCTCCATTCTCCCTATCCTCAAATTTCTGTTTTCTTAGTGGGGCCATTCTTGCCTAGTCAGAAAGGCTGCTTGAATGTCAGGAGACCAATCAGCTCCCCATGTTTATGAGATAATTTTTACCTCTCCAGCACTCCGAGGGATCAGTTGCTAATCACCTCAACTCCAAGCCCTCCCTCCTCTGGCCACTGCTGCTGTCACTTGGATTCTGTTCTTGCTTTGCCTTTAGTGGCTAAGCCTGATGCTGCTGTTTCGGTCTGGTTCTCTGTCATCCTAGTGCAGTCCCAGCAACACCCACAGGCCAGTTGGAAGGTGGTGGAGGAGGGGAGATACCGAGATGAAGGTAAGAGGCTTGAAAGAAGTATGTCCCTTTTAATTACCATGAGACAGACACACACACACACACGCATACACACATCCAACAAAACAGAACTACCTAGTCCAGGGGGCCTGGCCTTAGATCTCAAGGTCACGAGAAGGGAATGGCAAAGGGGCTGGGAGGGGAAATCTGGGAATAGGGCACTGTTTGTACACAGGGTTTTTCAGCTCCAGACCTCACAGACATGCAAACAGAAAGAATTGAGCCTGGTCTCCAGGGTCTACAAACACTAGATACAAATGCCAGCTTGGGCCTGCCTCTGCTCTGTGACCTTGGGAAGGCTACCTGATCTCTTCGTGCCTTGGTTTCCTCATCATGAAGATGAGTGTGCCAGTTATCTTACATGGCTGTGAGGTTTAGAGGTCATTTATTTGAAAAGCCCCAAAGTAGCTGGTACATAAAACAGTTCACAATAAATGATAAGGGGTGTTGGCCTAGAAAGAAGGCGCAAAGAAGAAAGCTATAAGCTTGAAGAACTTGAAAGAATTTCCA